CTGGGAATGTGGCAGGTGCACACCTCATTTGAATGGACATGAGCAACACATCTCGAAGAACAACAGTTGCAGGTAAGTAACCATTTTTTTTTGTGCTCCCACCATTGTCATCAATGGTACTGGTGGAACTGCTAGTGCAGTTGGGTGTTGGGAGGGACAGGTGAAGAGAATTGTGAATGTAGACAAGCCATAGGTGACAGCCTGAAGTCTTCAGAGAATAAGTTAATAGTACTTGTACCATTAGCGTTCATGAGTTTCCTAGCTTAAGACTCACAAGCAGGTAAATTTGAAATTAGACACAAAGTTTTAACGATGAAGGTTGTTAACCAAACTACAAAAGGAAGTGGTGGATTCTCCATTTTTTGATGTCTTCAGTTCAAGACTGGATGCCTTTCTGGAACGTATGCTTCAGTCAAATGCTAGTTATCTTTAGTCAAACACAAATTATTTGACTCAATATAAGGGTAATTGGTTGAATTTTAATGTCCAAGAGTCAAATTAGAGGATCTAATGCTCCCTTCTGACATGAAATTTTATGAATTTGTGAATCACATCAACCATAAACTGGTGAAAATAATGCCTGCCCCTTCATACTCGGGCCCTGATGCTATAAAATACAAATTAAATTAAACTAGAAAGTAATTATGGGGAGTTTCTCTTACAAATTAAAGTATAAATATATCCGCTAAGTAAAGCTTAATTTACAAAAACATTTAAACAGGAAGAAACAACAGGCCAAACTTATTACTGAGGTCAGTAGAGATGTACCAGAAATGTGAGCTGTGTGCCTTTTGAATATGGATGTGAAAGAGTATAAAAAGGTGCCAGGTCAATGTCTCTTATTGTAATTCCTTTACTACATAAGTTTCATTTTGTTTCCTTTTTGTTTCTGTGTAGAAATTGGCATTTCATACTATGCAGTGGCTGTTGTCAGAAAAAACTCCTTCATTAGCATCAACAGTTTGAAGGGCGTAAGGTCATGCCACACAGGCATCAACAGAACAGTTGGCTGGAATGTTCCAATTGGCTACCTCATTGATAGTGGCCGCATGTCAATGATGGGATGTGATGTTCCAAAAGGTAAGGGTTGCTGGGATGTTACCTGTTCTCCAGAGAGGCCTTGTCACTGAACATTGGCATGAATGTGGACTCCCTGGAGAGCAGAAGCACTCACATAGACAAGAACCTTAGGTTCTAGCTGATTTTCCCCCCCTTGTTTTGTTGCGTGAAGCTGCTCAGATCAGCTTTTAGCCCAGTGTATTTAGTTACAAATCATTTTTAAAAACCGACAGAAACTGTTATCACTTTTTAAATGTATGCAGATATATAATTAAGGTTTGTTAAAATGTGGTCTTGCCATTTTGGTTTTAATTGCTAAAATATTGTTACCTTAATTTCACTTATAGCTGTTAGTGAATATTTCAGTGCAAGCTGCGTTCCTGGGGCCAATATTGTAAGTTACCCCAAATCCCTCTGTCAGCTTTGTCAAGGGGATGCATCTGGGCAGAACAAATGTGAGAGCAATTCAAAGGAGAAATACTACGACTACAGCGGGGCTTTCAGGTAACGTTTTAGTATATAACTTTTAACCTCTGTCTGTCTATGCTACTCCCGTTGCCAAGGGAGTAGCATATCTGACCTCCATTTAATTTTCAGCAAAATTCTGAGAACCAATGAATAATGCTAGTAGCAAACCTGTTAAAACATAGAGCTAAATATAGGCAAATCCATGGCCTGAATTTATAATCTGAGGTAATCTTAAAATAATTTCACTATTAGATTTTTTTTTCAAAATTAAAACTTCGATACACAGGCTAAAAGGGAATAACTGTTGTTTGATACAAGCTCTAGGTCTTATTACTTGGTTTGTGAATGGAAAGCCCATTGACGTTGGTTTCATCTTCATCAGTATTCACCTCCTGGGAAGTTGTATCTTGATATTCACCTAAGCACAGTCCATAAGTACATAACATGCTTGGATTTGATGCCATTTTAGAAAACACTGAAGAACCCTGACAGTTTTTAAACCTGAACGTTAGGCTTAGACCACAACACAGAAACCATGAGAAGCCATCCGTCTGCTGCAAAACAGCAGTTTTGAAACATTGGTTGAAGGTCTGAATGACTTTTCCCTAGCACCAAGAATACACCCATCTTTTCTACACTTTTTGGCCATCTCCCTTGTGACGGAGTGAGGTCACAGAAGACCCCTTGGGGGTGATTCCCGAGGTACTGACATGGCCACTCGCCTTCCCATTCTCTGAGGCTTCTCACCGCCTGGTCCTGCTGGACCAGCTCTGCTGGTCTCCCACCCTGAGATCATTCCCCCACCCCTGAGAAGCAGTACAGACGCTAAACCTCTTCAGGTCCAAGGAGAGTGCAGTTTAGGGCCCAGCTTCCTGGGATACCACTCCCCAAATGGGATGAAAGAACCCAATGAATTACCTGGTTAAGCTCCCTTTAGCAATGAAAGGGAGAATGTACATGCTGGTTGCCCCTCCAGGTAACAATTGTTTACACTGGGTTCGATAGAAAATAAAAGTGATTTTATTAAGTACAAGCAGTAGGATTTAAGTGTTAATAAGTGAGAACAGGCAGATCAAAGTAGATTACAAATCAGAAGAAACAAAAATGCTGAGCTAATTCTACACTGAAACTTTATCACAAACTTCTTCAAACTCACCCTTTTCCAGCTGCCCCTCTAAACCAGGATTGTGTCCCCACCCTCGGGTCTTTGGCTGCTTCCCTCAGGAACAGCCCAGCCAAAAGACAAAACACTCCTACCTTCCTAATCTTCTCGAAGAATTCCCTTACTGTATGGGGAGTCACCTGGCACCCAGAATACCATGGCTGTACGGGCTCAGTCGCCTTTTGTCTGAACAGCACGACAGAAAGATACAACCTAGAATCATTCAGGCAATATTCCACAAATGGGGAGTTTCTTACATCAAGCTCTTCGCAACCCACAAGAATCGCAAATGTCACCAATTCTGCTCCAGAGCAGGTTCTGACTAGGGATACCTTGGAAACACCTTTCTTATCACCTGGACCATACCCCTTAAGGGCTACTTGTTAGTTATTACCACATTCCATGAGCCAATTGATGGTTCCTCAATTTTTTCCTAGCCCATCACCAAATGATTTTAACAGAGTTCCAGATAATATATTCAGTGATTCAGGAACTTACACCTCCCTGGGACTTAAACAACATCCTCACAAACCTCATAAGGCCTCTATTTGAACCTTTAGCCACTTGCTGTCTTCAAAAGAGTCACCGTGGCTTAACCACCATGTAAAAGAAGCAGTGAGGGACAAAAAGGCATCTTTTAAGAAGTGGAAGTGCAATCCTAGTGAGATAAATAGAAAGGAACATAAACACTGTCAAATCAAGTGTAAAAATGTAATAAGAAAAGCAAAAAAAGATTTTGAGGAACAGCTAGCCAAAAACTCAAAAAGCAATAGCAAAATGTTTTTTAAGTACCTTAGAAGCAGGAAGCCTGCTAAAAAACCTGTGGGTCCCCTAGATGATCGTTATTCATAAATGATCTGGAGAAAGGGGTAAGCAGTGAGGTAGTAAAGTTTGCAGATGATACAAAACTGTTTAGGATAGTCAAGACAGAAGCAGACTGTGAGGGACTCCAAAAAGAATTCACCAAACTGAGTGATTGGCCATTAAAATGGCAAATGAAATTTAATGTGGATAAGTGTAAAGTAATGCACATCGGGAAAAATAACCCCAACTATACGTACAGTATGATGGGGGCTAATTTGGCTACGACAAATCAGGAAAGAGATCTTGGAGTTATCGTGGATAGTTCTCTGAGAACTTCCACACAGTGTGCAGCGGTGGTCAAAAAGGCAAATAGGATACTAGGAATTATTAAGAAAGGGATAAAAAATAAGACCCAGAGTATCTTACTGCCCCTGTATAAAACTATGGTACGCCCACATCTTGAATAGTACAGATGTGGTCTCCTCACCTCAAAAAAGATATTTTGGCCTTGGAAAGGGTTCAGAAAAGGGCAACTAAAATGATTAGGGGTTTGGAACGGGTCCCACATGAAGAGAGGTTAAAGCGACTGTGACTTTTCAGTTTAGAAAAGAGGAGACTGAGGGGGGATATGATAGAGTTATATAAAATCATGAGTGGTGTGGAGAGGACGGATAAAGAAAAGTTATTTATTAGTTCCCATAACAGAAGAACTAGAGGACACCAAATGAAATTAATGGGGAGCAGGTTTAAAACTAATAAAAAAAAGTTCTTCTTCACACAGCGTGTAGTCAACCTGTGGAACTCCTTGCCAGAGGAGGCTGTGAAGGCTAGGACTATAACAGAGTTTAAAGAGAAGCTAGATAATTTCATGGAGGTTAGGTCCATAAAAGGCTATTAGCCAGGGGACAGAAGTAGTGTCCCTGGCCTCTGTTTGTCAGAGGCTGGAGAAGGATGGCAGGAGACAAATCGCTGATCATTGTCTTTGGTCCACCCTCTCTGGGGCACCTGGTGCTGGCCACTGTTGGCAGACAGGCTACTGGGCAAGATGGACCTTTGGTCTGACCCAGTTCGGCCGTTCTTATGTTCTCTATATAATTATGAAGGTGGCGTTCCTGGAAGTGTTTACCTCAGCTAGAGGGGTGGCAGAGATAGCAGGCCTCATGGCAGACATTACGCCTGCACTCCAAATTTCTACCAAAAGTGGCTTCTACCTTTCACATCAATGAGCCAATACATCTACCTGGCTTCTTTCCTAAGCCGCACAAGGACACCTTATGGACATCTCTCCATACACTCGGCGTTAAGCAAGCCCTCGCCTTTCACCACCACAGGACCAAACCTTTCTGTAAATCTCCCAGACTCTTTCAATCTATTGCTGAACACTCAAAAGGTGAAGCTATCTCATCTCAATGACTTTCCAAGTGGACCTCCTCTTGTGTATATACTTGCTACACAGTACATAACAAGCAGCCACCATACTGAGTAACAGCAAATTCCACCAGAGCTGCAGCAGCATCAACAGTATTCTTGAAAGATGTCCCATTGCAGGACATATAAGGGCAGCAATATGATCCTCTGAGCATACTTTTGGGAGACACTATGCCATTACAGCTGGTCCCATCCTGCAGCCATGGTGGGATGGGCTGTCCTCTGATCCATGACTCAGGCATGACTCTAAAGTCCACCTCCAAGGGGGCACTGCTCTATAGACAACTAGAGTGGAGCACCCACAGAAACAGCACTCGAAGAAGATGAAGTTACTTACCTTGTGCAGTAATGATGGTTCTTCGAGATGAGGCTGCCTAAGGGTGGTCTACTACCCTCTCTTCTTCTCTCTACTTTGGAGTCTCTACAACAGATTCCATGGAAGAGAAGAGATGAAAGGAGCCATACCGCAAGTGCAATCAATGAATGCAAACAGCACCATGAAGTGGCTACTGTGCAGGCATGGAGTGGCCAGGCACTGCTAAGAAAACTCTCCAATTGACAGTGCAAGGATGCACCCACCATCTCAAAGAACCATCATCATGGTACAAGGAACAGCTAGCCAAAAACTCAGAAAGAAATAACAAAATGTTTTTAAGTACATTAGAAGCAGGAAGCCTGCTAAAAAACCTGTGGGTCTCCTAGATGATCGAGCTATAAAAGGAGCAATCAAGGATGATAAAGCCATTGCGGAGAAACTAAATGATTTCTTTGCTTCAGTCTTCACGGCTGAGGATGTTGGGGAGATTCCTGAATCTGCACCGTCCTTTGTGGGTGATGAATCTGAGGAACTGTCCCGGATTGAAGTGTCATTAGAGGAGGTTTTGGAACAAATAGAAAAACTTAATGTTAACAAATCTCCAGGACCAGATGGCATTCATCCAAGGGTTCTAAAAGAACTCAAATGGGAAATTGCTGAACTATTTCTGTGGTTTGTAACCTATTCTTTAAATCGGCTTCCGTACCTAATGACTGGAAGGTAGCCAACGTGACACCAATATTTAAAAAGGGCTCTAGAGGCGATCCTGGCAATTACAGACCGGTAAGTCTAACTTCAGTACCGGGCAAATTAGTCGAAACAATAGTAAAGAATAAAATTGTGAAGCATGTAGAAGAACATAATTTGTTGGACAAAAGTCAACATGGTTTCTGTAAAGGAAAATCCTGTTTTACTAATCTGTTAGAGTTCTTTGAAGGGGTTAACAAACATGCGGACAAGGGGGATCCAGTAGATATAGTATACTTGGATTTTCAGAAAGCCTTTGACAAGGTCCCTCACCAAAGGCTCTTGTGTAAATTACATGGCCATGGGATAAGAGGGAAGGTCCTTTCTTGGATTGAGAACTGGTTAAAAGACAGGAAACAAAGGGTAGGAATAAATGGTAAATTTTCAGATTGGAGAGGGGTAACTAGTGGTGTACCCCAAGGGTCAGTCCTGGGACCAATCCTTTTCAACTTATTCATAAATGATCTGGAGAAAGGGGTAAGCAGTGAGGTAGTAAAGTTTGCAGATGATACCAAACTGTTTAGGATAGTCAAGACAGAAGCAGACTGTGAGGGACTCCAAGAAGATCTCACCAAACTGAGTGACTGGGCAACAAAATGGCAAATGAAATTTAATGTGGATAAGTGTAAAGTAATGCACATCGGGAAAAATAACCCCAACTATACGTACAATATGATGGGGGCTAATTTGGCAACGACAAATCAGGAAAGAGATCTTGGAGTTATCGTGGACAGTTCTCTGAAAACTTCCACACAGTATGCAGCGGCGGTCAAAAAGGCAAATAGGATGCTAGGAATTATTAGGAAAGGAATAGAAAATAAGACCCAGAATATCTTACTGCCCC